CTGTTCCTCAAATCTCCTTCATAGCACTCACCCTCTTCGTCCTCTCTGGTCCACAGCCTTCACTCTTCTCCCTTCCACAGTCCCCTGTTACAAAAAAATATAACAAGATATGTAAAAAGGAAATCAAGATTGCAAAAATTCAAAACCAACGACAGGTTGCAAAGAGCGTAAGAGACTCATTCTTTAAATATATTAATAGTAAAAAGATAAGGTCTGAGCATGTAGGCCCCTTATAAGATAACTTGGTGACTGGAGCCAAGGAGAAGGTAAATCTATTAAACCTTGTTCAGATTTGTATACAAGGGAACATGGTGGTACTGTAGTAGTATTGTGAATGATAGTGCCACAGCTTCAAATCAATCACAATGGCTAAAAATCAATATTGTCCAAAACAGACAAAATTAACGTAAACGAAGACCTGGACCAAATGGCTTACACCTATGTGTACTCAAACAACTGTTATTCCCCCAATCATCTTGCAGGACAGCCAACGAGAGGTAACTCCGCATGCCTGAAACAGGAAGCACATCATCCATATTAGAATAAAAAAGAGACTGATACACCCTCACCTCAGCTAAATTGCTATTTCCTTCTTTAAAAACAAATGAGCTATTAAAGGCTATTTGGGACATCCTTGGATTAAAGGAAGACATGACGGTGCTCTATATCCATGACAGAATGTATAAAGGGCATCAGGTCAAAAATAGCAAACATTCCCTGTTCAATAGTATTTAAAGAATGTTATTTTCGGGGGAAAGGGAAGACCCAGAAAGCAGGTTGTTTTCCCCCTCTAGTCTGAAGCGTAGGGTACAGGATAGAACAGTCGCAGTATCCCCCATCAAGATATTTAGTCACATCCCTTTCAAAAGACACAGGGAAGGTGAAGGCTAGACATGTGCACTGCCAAAAAATTCATTTCGTTTCGTTTTAAATTCGGATTTGTGTTATTTCGTTTTTCGGGATTCGGGTGTGAAAGTCAATTCGGAATTCGGATTCGGACGAAATTCGGTAGCGTTAGTACGAACGTTCGTTTCGTTTTCTGTTCTTATTCGTTTCTTATTCGTTTCCTATTCGTTTCTTATTCGTTTCTTATTCGTTTCGTTCATTTGCAGCAAAAGTGACATTTAAGGGGGAAAAAATATTTTTCTCCTTCTCTAATGTCACTTTGCTCCAACGAACGAAACGAATAAGAAACGACTAAGAACAGAAAACGAACGTTCGTGCGCACGCTACCGAATTTCGGAAATGGAAATTCGGATTCGTTTGCATTCGTTATGTCTGTAATTCGGAATTCGGATACATCCGAATTTACGAAAGTTCGTCCGAATTTCGATTCGGAACGAAACGAATCGCACATGTCTAGTGAAGGCCATGTTGCCCTCCCTCCAGGAGCTCCCGGGTCAGGGAGTAATTTGCCCAGTTCCTCCAGAAGACAATAAGAGGGGATTTTATTCCCATTTTTTCAAGGATAAAACCTTCAGAGAAGTGCAGATTTATTCTCAACTTAAAACCTCTAAACAAGGTTGTGAAATACAAAAGATTCAAGATGGAATCGGTCTTTTCAGTAAGATATATATTTCCTCCAGAGGCATTTTTAGCTACGGTGGATCATGGACATGCATACTTTCACATCCCTATCAGAAACTTCTTTTAGAGGCTCCTGAGGTTTGCAGTGAAGAGACCAGCAGGTATTCTTTACTTTCAGTGCAAGGCTCTCTCCTTCGGCCTCTCTTCTTCCCCAATAATTTTCACGAAGGTGCTGGCAAAGGCGTTAGCACCCTTGAGGAAAATTGGGATAGGCGTTACTCCTTATTTGGATGACCTTTTATTATTTGCCCAGTCGGAGACTCTTCTCCAACAGAAGCTAATCTACGTCAATAATCACATAGAAGAGCTGGGTTGGTTGCTGAACAGAGAAACGTCACAACTCTTTCCCTCGCAGACAGTGATGTTTCTGGGGTATTTGATAGATACCCAGAAGACATGCAGTTTTTCTCCCTCAGACAAAGGTGGATTTCCTGTGCTTAGAAATGATGAGTCTCTTTTTAGCAGATTGAGAAACCTTCAGGACTATCATGAGGGTTTTAATGCTAATGACCTCAGCCATCCACGTAGTTCTTGTGGGCACAGCTTCATTCCAGGCCCCTTCAGAATTTTTTGGTTGCCCACTGGAAGGGGGATCCAGACGCATCAGACAAAGAGGTCACTTTAACAAGCAAAGTAAAGCAATCCCTGAGGTGGTGCATAGAAGTACAAAACTTTTCAGAGGGCAGACTGTAGCACCAGAGACATCCAATAAGGATCACATCAGATGCCAACGCTTGGCTTACTTCCAGGAACATGTGTCAAGGTTCTTGGGATCGGCCCTGGAGCAGGAAATCTTCCAATATGAGAGAGCTAAAAGGAATAGAATTAGCGCTTTACCACTTCAAACCTCTAATCAGGGGTCAGCATGTACGGGTCTTATCGGATAATACCACGGAAGTGGCTTGTATAAACAAACAAGGGGGGACCAGATCTCACGGCCTGATGCCATTGTCAAAAGGCATTCTCTCATGGGCAAAGAGCAATCTACTGTCAATCTCAATTACATTCTTTGGTAGATGACCTCAACATCAGGAACGAACTGAGACAGTCAGAATGGTCCCTAGATCACCAAACAATTCTAATGATAACACAAAAATGGGGAACGTCAGATGTGGACCTGTTTGCATCCAGCCGAAACAAAACAGTGGAGAAATATTTTTCTCTGGCAGAAAACTAGGTCTGGGGGTGGATGGTTTTCGCCCATCCCTGGAATTTTCATCTTGCTTATGCCTTCCTGCCGTTCAACCTACTACCCATTGTTATTCGAAAGTTACAGGAGTAGAAGATTCAAATGATTTTTATAGCGCTCTTCTGGCCAAAGAGACCTTGGTTCTCGGCCCTTCAGGAATGGAGCCAGAAACTTCCTTGGTCACTGCCAGCCAAGAAGGGCTTATTACAACAGGAGGAGGTACCACATCCTCAAGTGGAAGCGCTTAGGCTGACGGCTTTGTTTCTGAAAGGGACATTTTAGTCAGCAAGGGCCTGTCAGACAAGGTACTGTCAACTTACTAAAGAGCAGAAAGTCTTCCACTTTAGCAATATACCATGAAGTGTGGAAAATGTTTTCCAGATAGCGCAATTCAAGGACACAAAAAAACACTTCTACATTTGCTTCAGTTCTGGACTTTTTACAAGAAGGATTTGGTTAAAATTTAGCTAGAAGTACTTTTCTTTTTTAGGCATTAAGCAAGCAGAGGACCCTCTGATTAAGAGGTTCTTTAAAGCAATAAGTAGATTGAGGCCACCCAGGAGCAAAAGCTTTCCAAATTGGGACCTTTTAGTAGTACTACAGGGGTTTCTAAAACCGCCCTTTGAACTTATCCGGGACTGTTCTATTAGAACACTAGCCTTAAAAATGGCTCTGCTGGTGGCATTAGTATTAGCCAGAAGAGTTAGTGAAATTCACGCCTTCTCCATAGCTGGGCAATACTGCAAAATCCTACCAGACAGAATTATTTTGGGGCTGGACCTGGCGTTCTTACCCAAAGTAGCATCAACCTTTAACAGGGCACAAGAAGTAATTATCCCTTCTATTGTTACCAACCCAGCAAAAAATAAGGAAAAGGAATGGCAAGGGATAGATGTTAGAAGATGCGTTTTGGAGTATTTATCTTAGTCGTGGAGGAACTCGAGCAATCT